AGCCTGTCTCCAAAGCAGCCCCAGGGCTCTGCACCTCATCATGCTCTGTGTCTCTTCACATCACGTATCTCGAGCTGCCAGTTTTCGACACACAGTGCTTAGCTTGTTGATGGTCTCATTCCCCCACTACTAGAACGCAAAGTCCATGAGGAGGGATTTGGGGGATCTCACCCTCTCCTGTATCCCCAGTGCCTGGAATACTCCGCGTGCCCAGTACGTGTTTGTGAAACTAATGCCCAGATGGACGAGGGAATTCCGGGATGAAGTCACAACAGGAACAAAGCACAGAATCAGCCTCTTCCGTGCCAGGGACTCCACCTGAGCAGCATGGGAGGACATGGTGAGACAGAAGAGGTCGCTGGGGGAAGACAGGAAAGGCTTTGAAAGTCATACAGAGGAATTTGGATCTATTTTGTCCTGTAGGCAATGGGGAACCATTGGGAGTTTTGAGTAGAAGAGTGACAAGATCCAATCTATGTTTCAGAAAGGTCACTTGGGAAAAGCCATTTGTAGTGCAATGAGGAGGGAACATGTAGTGTAATGGATGGGGCTGAGAGCAGAGGCAGGAAAGTAGTAAGGAGGAGGTTGCTTCCCTGATGACAGATGTCAAGGGTCTGGACTGAGACTGCTTGTTCGGCAAGTGAAGGGTGGGAGGGATGAAGGCAGTGTTCATGGTAGCAGAGAGAAAACATCCAAAGGGAGACATTGCAGGTGGTATAGGACCCAGTGATCAGTGAGCTGGGAGAGGGGGAGGGCATGCAGAGGGGCCTTTGGCCAAGTGAGGGGCTCAGCGGGATGGGATGTGTGTGCGTGTGTGTGTGTGTGTGCGCGCACCTATGTGTGTGCACTCGTGTATGTGTTGGGGAATGGAGATCATACAGTGCGCAGTTCTGGCAGACGGGGGGCTTATGGGGCTGCTATGATGGGCCTGTCCATTGTCAACTAGGCAGATGGCAGTGCTGGCCTGATGCTCGAGAGAGTTGGGGGTCAGCGATGGAAAGCTGAACTCCATCATGGAGAGTTATTTGAAGACATGGGGGAGAATGAGACGCTCCGGAATGAGGGTGTGGATGGAGTGAGAAGGGAGGGGATGCAGGACAGAAGTCTTGAAAACATCCCCATTGTGGAGGAGGTGGGCGTCTTGGTCAGAGGGGTGGGAAGAGGGCCTGGGGGCCGTGCTGCAGACACCTGGCCCAGGGTGTCATCCACACGCTCACCTCCCCCATTGACGGGCGGCCCCAGCCTTCCCACCACAGAAGCACAGGAAGTGGCAGGGCTGGGAAGCACTGTGTCCCTGCTCATGGGCAATGTTTGTACCACACTGGGGTCAGGACTTCTACTTCAGGCAGGAACAAGTTTATTAGTGGCACCTGTAGACTTAAAAATAATACTTAAAACTGGCAAAGCTTCCTTGGCATTTCATCTCAAATAGGCTCGCCCTTCCCATGCACCCATTTGTAGAGCAGACTGTGGCCCGAGCGACACCCAACACCCAGATGTGGGCCCTGCGGAGGGGAAGCCAGGGCCGTGGTGAGCAGGTCTGGGAGGTGGAAAGGAGCTGGCTGCGGGGCAGACGGACCTGCAGGCTCCCACGGTGGGGTCGGGGATGCTCGGCAGCCTGGCCGCGCCCCTGTGGGCTGCAGGTGGCGGTGTTGGCAGAGAAACAGGGAGGGCTCAGCACGCCTCGCCCTGCGAGGCCCGGTCCTGCCAGCTGACACGGACAAGCTCGCACAGTAGGGCAGATTCTCCAAGTGTTCAGTCGCCACATGGAGAACGCCCTGTCAGCTTGTGAGAAAAGACATCTTCTCCTCTTCCAATTCCTCCTGGAGAGAAGAGTCTGGAACCCTGATCTCCTCTGACGTTGCCATTCAGCTGAGAGGCCTGGAAAACGCTGACTTCTCTGTACTTGGAACTGCTGCTCTGGGTGGGCTTTCCTTACTGTCAGGGGTAGGGTGGGGCGGCATGGCCCCCCAGCAAGAAAGAGACCTGAAAGAACCAGGAAAGAAACATAAGGGGAGGATGAAGAAGGTGGAGAGCCCTGCTCAGGTGCTCTTATCATCATCGCTCCGAGTCTTAGAGCAGCTCAAATTCCACGAATCCAGAACCACATTCTTGTTTCCTTCCCACGCCCCAAACCCGACACCCAGTCTCTCTGACCGGCGCCACTCCCCACCCAACCGTGCGGGCCCAAAGCCTGGACACAGCCTTCGGCTACTGCATCCGTGGTGCCTGCGGCCTCTGCCTTCAAAGCGTGCTCTGAATTAGATGTCTCCCCTCCCCCAGCGAGGCAAGCCTGTCCCCAGACACTGCCCTCTCCCTTGGGCACTTGTCCCCAGACACTGCCCTCTCCCTTGGGCACCTCGCAGGCCTCCCTGCTCCTACCCAGGCCCCTTGCAGAAGCCACAGTCATTAAAAAAAAAAAAAAGAAATTGGGTTGTGTCATGCCTTTGTTCAAAATTCGGTGGTTGTTCACTGCCCTTAGAATTAAACCCAAGGTCTGGTGTCCCAGAAGGCTGTGTACCATCTGTGCCCTGGATACCTTTCTGACCTCATTTCCTCCCCGTGGTCACTCGGCCTGGCCCAGCTGCCTCCTTCTGGTCCCCACGCCCGACAAACACGTCCCCCGTGGCCCTGCCGTCCCCATCCCTGGGAGACTCTCCCACCAACATCCTCATGACTCACTCCTCCCCTTACGGGGTCTCTGCTTACACACTACTTCCTAGGAGACGCCTGGCAAACAAGGGGGGAATGAATGAATGAATGTACGGTAATACCTGCTTTAATACCTGTGTGCCCGGCACATAGGAGGCTCCTAACAACCTGCATGTAATAACAGCCTGGCCTATGCTCCCTGTCTTGGCTATGAAACCTGCTCCCGAGCCCAAGGGTGCCGCTGGTTCTCTGTAAAGAATGCCCGACCTACACGGAGAAGGTGGAAATCAGCTCTGCAGAAAGGGCCAGACGTAGGAGATGCCAGTGGCCACCAGGGGGTGCCCCATGCAGGGCGTCTGCACACCGGCGCCGGCTGCGCCGCAGGGGTGCGGGAGGGCTGCAGCCACCCTACGCCCACGCAGCAGGGAGCGATGGGAACCAGGCAGCCACAGGCCAGAGCTGCTGAGCCAGCTGCACCTGGCTTCCTGCAGGTCCCCCAGCCTGGGTCCTGAGGGCTTTAAAACACAAACAGGCAGGTGAGATTTTGAAGGTTTAAAATGGTTTTTTCCACCTATTTGTCAAGCCTCAAACCCCAGCACCTCCAGACACCTGAGGTTACATTTCTGACAGCACCTCCCCTTCCCCATTCTAAAAATACAGAACCCAGAAACTGAGCTTTAGTGAGGTTAGGTAACACAGGCCCTCTGCCTGACAAGCCCTCTAAGCCCTCCCTGAACAGCACTCCCTGTCTCCCTGCCTCCCTGGGCCTGATCTCCTACAGGTCACCGCTCTGTGTTCGCACGCCCTGTAGCAAATGCTGCTAGAACTGCGATTGTGTGAGCTTCCTGAGAACAGATTGAGTGTGTGTGTGTGTGTGTGTGTGTGTGAGAGAGAGAGAGAGAACACAGGGCCTCTCCTGTGTTCCTCTGTCTGATGGGAGGCTCCTATCAGACTTCTTGACTCCAGTCTCCAGCCCCAAATTTGACTTGTCTAGAATCCCCCTGTCCTCCTACATCCTGGTCTTTCCTTCCAGGCCCTCCCTCCTCTTTCCCCTCTGTGTGAGCCCATGCAGGCCCTTGGTGCAGATAGTGTCTTAGAAATCACCTCACTGCTCCTGGGGGCATCCAGCAGCCACAGGTCCCAGGAACTCACTGATCACTGCCCCAGGCCCATGCCAGGTACTTATTCTGTGTCGTGTCCCACTGTGACTGGTGGGAGTGGCTTCCCACCATGGCCAGAAGGCTCTGTCTGAAGGTGCAGCTCCCTGTAGTCTCAACCTGTCTTTCCCGTTGTCACTCCTCAGGGGCCAACACTGTGCCACTAAGACCTGGGGCTCTCACTTGGCAGAAGGCCGGAGAGTGGGGAGTGGCAGGGCAGGGCACGGGGCGAGGACACAGGACGTAGGGTGGGGCTGGGGCAGCATTTGCGGTGGGTGAAGTCAGTCTCGCAGGTCCTCCGATCTTCTACACGGCTCCAGCTTCTTGTTCATTCTCACAGAAAACTCCTTTTAAAATATCCTCCCCACCCACCCCCCATGTGCCCCATGTGTTGGATCATTTTGCCTGCAAAACAAACTGCTTTTATTATGTAATGATGATAGTGTCTAGGCACTGTTAATAATCGGGGCATTTATAATGGCCAACATAGCTTCTGGGCAGTGTGAGAGGCTGAGGACTGCCTCACTGAAGAGTGAGAATTCAGCTTAGCTTAAAGCCATTCGACATTCTGTTTTGCCTGGGCAGGCTTGTCACAAGGTGTGACTTTCCCTCAGGCTTTTTGAAATTCTAGGATAACTGAAATACCTCAGTATTGCCCTCTTGGACAACCGATCTCTGGAGATTCCTGGCTGAGGACACTGGCTTTGGTGTCTGACTTGCTCTGTCCTGCAAAGTTTTACTTCTTATTTGCTGGGTGGATAAGGGTTCATTAGTTAATTTTTTTAAAGTTCCCCTACAAAAATGGAATAGTGGGCTAATTTTAATCATAGCCCTCCCATAATACCTTAAGCATAATACCTTAGCCCAATAAAATACATAAAATTATACGTACGGCCTGATTATATCTCCATTAAAAATAACAACAAGGGGTAGGATTTCTAGCTGTGGCAGAGAGAAGAGGTTGGCAAATCCTGTCATTCAAAAATAATGCTAAACTGGACAAATTTGTCAAAAACATTTCAGAGCTCTGGAAATTGATCAAATACAAATAACACACTGAGAAATGTTTATTCATGAAAAAGCGTTACACATCTGGTAAGAACAACGGGAGTCTGTAGTGTTCTTGCTCAGGGCTGCACCCTTCCCACCAGGCTTGGGTGAGGTAGGACTGCCGGAGTGTGGCTGGCCATGAAGACCAGCAGCTTCACTGCTAGGGGAGGCTGGTTTGAATCGGAAGGCAGGATAAAATTTCCATGTCTAGCAATGTTTTCTGTAAAAGTAGAAAACATGGTATAGAATGAAAATCAATCATATTTCTAAATACTAACAACAAACAATTAGAAATTGAAATTTAAAAACACTATTTACAATAGCATTAAAATATGAAATACTTAGGAACAAATCTGACAAAGGATGTTAAAGACCTATACACTGAAAGTTATAAAACATTGCTGGTAAAAATGAAAGACCTAATAAATAGAGAGACATACTGCATTCCAAGGTCAGAAGACAGTCTTGTTATGACGTCAGTTCTTCTCAAATTAATTAGTATATTTGATATAATCCTCCCCAAATTCCAGAAGGACTTTTAGTAAACATTGACAAAATGAGTCATATTTTAATGCAAAAGACCTAGAATAACCAGTACAATTTTGAGAAAGAACAAGGTTAGAGTTAATACCACCTGATTTGGAGACTTATTACAAGGCTGCAGTAATAAAAGCAATGTGGTATTGGTGTTAAGATAGACAAATAGATCAATGGAGCAGAAAAGAAAGTCCAGAAATTGACTCACACATATAATAATATAAACAATTTATTTTTGATAAAGATGTGAAGGCAATTCAGTGTGGAAAGGATAGTAGTCTTTCAACAAATGGTGCTGAAGCCATTGACAGCTATAAGCAAACATATGAACATAGACCTTTTCCTAATACCGTAACAAAAATTAACTCAAAGTGGATCATAGATCTAACTGAAAGAGGTAAAATTATACAACTTCTAGAAAAAAGTGGAAAAATCTGTGACTTTCTGACTTTCTGTTACTCAAAAATTTTTTACATATGATGCTAAAAAAACATGATCTATAAAACAACAAATTGATAAATCAGACCTCAGCAAAATTAAAAATATTTGCTCTTCAAAGACACATTAAGAAAATGAAAAGACAGACCCAGGCTGGGAGAAAATGTTTGCAAAAACTGTATCTGATAAAGGATTCTCATCTAGAATATATAAAGAATTCCTACAACTTAATAAGAAAAGAAAAACAACCAATTAAAAAAATGGGCAAAATAATTGAATAGACATTTCTCCAAAGAACATACACAAATGGCTAACAAGTCCATGAAAAGATGCTCCCACAATTAGTCATTAGGAAACACAAATTAAAAGCTCAATGAGATACCACTACGCACTATCAACTGTAAAAAAAAAAAAATGACAATACCATCTGTTGGTGAGGATGGGGAGAAATGGAAACACTTATGCATTGTTGGTGGGAATGTAAAATGGTGAATCCACTTTGGTAAATATTAATAGTTTGCAGTTTCTTTAAAAAACTTAAAGCATATACCTACCACACTAACAATTCATTTCTAGGCATCCACACAAGAGAAATGAAAACATGTCCACACAAAGACTTACATGACAATGTTTATAGTAGAACTATTCAGAATAGCCACAAACTGGAAACATCTCATTCTCACTCTGTCCTGTCCACTCCATTCCATGACTCCTATAGGTAACCAGTGAGATTCCTTTCTTGTGTATCATTTTAGTATTTCTTGTGCAGTTATGAATTAATACAAATGTATATTTTTATTCCTCTGACTTTTGTATTCAAAAGGTAGCATACTAAATGTACTGTTTCACCTTCCTTTTTTTCATTTTATAATATACCCAGAGCTTTTTTCTCTACATCTAAACATAGAGGTACTCTTTATTCCTTTTTATAGCAGCATAGTATTCCATGTATGGATATACCATAGTTTATTTTACCAGTTCCCTTGTGATGGACACTTGGGCTGTACCCAGTCTTTTGCTATTACAGAGCATGTTGCAATGAATGACCTTGTGCATATGTCATACTTAGGTGTATCCATAGGATAAATTCCAAGAAGTGGGATTACTAGGTCAAAGGGTAAATGCATTTGTAATTTTGAAAACTCCATGGAATTGAACCAATTAACACTCCCACCAACAATATATGGATGAGAATGTTTGTTTCTTGAGAGGTCAGAAAACAAAGTATGTGATCAAATTTTTGCATTTTGCAAAACTGTTAGAGGGAAAAATGGTGTCTCAGTGTAGTCTTAATGTCTTCCTCTTAATTAGGAGTGAGGGAGTGTATCTTTCCACATGTTAAGGAATAATATCTCTGTTTCATACACATAGGAAACTGAAGCCAGAAGAGATAAAACTGGAGATGGTGCAGGACCATGCCCCTAACCTTGGTGTCTGGGGTCAGACTCCCAACTCAGGACCTAGACTCCCAACTCAGCTCTTTCCTGATTCTGTAACCTTGGAAAGTCACACCATCTACGGAAACTTTAATTTAACCATCAGTAAAACAAGAATAATAAAAATTCTTACTTCATGGGGGTGTTCAGGGTTAGTGAGACACTGGGAAGGAAACACTTAGCACAGTGCTTGGCACATGGTCAGTGTTTGATCAATGGCCAGTCACGCAGTCCTTGTGGTACCATATTTTATCCACTGTCCCATGTTGAAGTCTCCCTCCCTTGAAATGTGAACTCCCAACCACCCAACCCTCTTGTTTATACCAACACCACCATGCCAGCTGGTGCCATGTCACCTTTATCTACCTCCATTTGTCTTCATTTCGTCAGTTAGATCATAGAGTTTCCAAGGCCAGGACTAGCTCCTGGGTTTCTCTGTATACTCCCTCATGGGACCCAGCACTTAGTAGATGCTCAATAATTTTTTATTGATTAAGTTTGAAGAAAGGGAGTAGAAAACTAAAATAAAGCTGGAGACACCTAAGGACTAATTTGATTATAGAGAATATTAATGCCAGTTTTGGGTTGGGGTGAAAGTGCAAGAGGCAGAAACTCCCATGATGTGGACAGGAAGTGAAATAGCAATGACAGGAAGTGGGAAAAGAGGGTGTTGAAAGTAGTGCAATGCGATGAGGGAAACATTTATATTTAGAGGGACTAATCTTGGGCAATGCCGAGTTTCCCCTTTTCTTGAATTCTCTAGGTATGGATGATTGAAATGAGATTAGAACTGCTACTCCAAAGTGCCTTAAACAAGGAAGTCTTATTGTTTGGAGATGATGGTGATGGTTGAAGGGCTTTTAACGGATCACAGGCTGTGCATGTGCCCTGATGGGGGAAAAGGGGTGTGTAGCCCAGAGCATTAGTGGCCATGGGAGCTGCAAAGGCCAGGGAGCAGTCCTTCACTCTGTCTGCCACACTGGGCATGTCACCAGTGGGAGTTTGTGTCTAGTTTGGATTCGTGGATTTTATTTATTTATTTATTTATTCTTTTTTTATTTCAGCATATTATGGGGGCGCAAATGTTTAGGTTACATATTTTGCCTTTGCCCCACCTGAGTCAGAGCAGAGCTTCAAGCGTGTCCATCCCCCAGACAATGTGCACCACACCCATTAGATGTGTTTACACCCGTCCCCTCTTCCCCTCCCAACTGCCCGACACACGATGAATGTTATTACTATGTGCACTTAAGTGTTGATCAGTTAAAACCAATTTGATGGTGAGTACATGTGGTGTTTGTTTTTCCATTCTTAGGATACTTCACTTAGTAGAATGGGTTCCAGCTCCATCCAGGATAATTCAAGAGGTGCTATATCACCCTGTTTTCTGTGGCTGAATAGAACGCCATGGTATACATATAACACATCTTAATAATCCACTCATGTATTGATGGGCACCTGGGTTGTTTCCACATCATTGCAATCGTGAGTTGTATTGCTATAAACATTTGAGTGCAGATGTCTTTTTTATAGAATGTCTTTTGTTCTTTTGGGTAGATGCCCAGTAATAGGATTGCTGGATCAAATGGTAGATCTACTTGTGTCTCTTTGAGGTATCTCCATATTGCTTTCCACAGAGGTTGTACTAGTTTGCAGTCCCACCAGCAGTATAGGAGTGTTCCTATCTCTTTGCATCCATATCAACATTTACTGTTTTGGGAGTTTTTGATAAAGGCCATTTTCACTGGAGATAAGTGATATCTCATTGTGGTTTTTATTTGTATTTCCCTGATGATTAGAGATGTTGAGCATTTTTTTGTATGTTTGTTAGCCATTAGTCTATCTTCTTTAGAAAAGTTTCTGTTCATGTCCTTTACCTACTTTTTGATAGAGTTGTTTGATTTATTCTTGCTGATTTTCCTGAGTTCTATAACTATTTCCTGAGTTCTATTACTATTATAGTAAGAAGCCCTTTATCGGATGTGTAGCATGAGAATATTTTCTCCCAATCTATAGGTTGTCTGAGCAAGCAATGGGAATATCTAGCAAAGTGGGTGGAGGAAATGAAAGGTTCTCCCCTTCTTCCATGATGTCAGAGGGGACCTTACTGTCTTCCATATTCCACTCATTTCTACACAGTGACAGGATTCACTCCAGGCTGTTTTGCATAAGAGGAATGAGAGAGAAAGACTCCCTTATCCTAGAGGGGGAACTCCTGGAGAGCAGAGACCTATTTTATTCATCTCTGAATAAAATAGCCTGATGTGGGTGGCCCTTTTCCAGGGCCTGGCACCATGTGCCTGACACATAACAGGTACCCCACAAATATTTCTTGGTTGTGGTCTCTCTGTAGAGGACTGGATGAGAGGCAATGACTTGAAAAGATGCAGGAGGTCAGGTTAGATGCCCACTGCAGTGCTCCCATGACACCATGAACTTCACATCTTGGCACACAGATTCACTCATATATTCTAGGTCCCTCTTCCCTCACCAGATCCTTGCAAGCAGAGATTGACTGACTTGTGCTTAACATGGCTGCTAAATGATTGTTTACTGGATAAATGGACACAACTTCATAATGCTGTTGATTGCTTTAGAGCTCAGCAGGGCTGATTCCTCTGGGAATTGTGGTCTTGCCCTTCAAACTCAGAGCAAGTCCTTGACAGCAGGACCTGGCATGCTCTCCTCCAATTTGCATTTGATTCCATTCATCTCCCAGGACAGAACCATGAAGATCTTCAAGGAGAACTTCCAACGTGGCTGGCTGCACATTAGGATTTCCTGTGGGATCTTTGAAATTCCTGGTGCCCAGGTCACATTTCTTATAAATTAAATCAGAATGGGTGGGGGTGAGAGACTGGCATAAGTAATTTTTAAAGATCCTCAATGATCCCAATTGACCCCCAATGACCCCAAGACCCAAATGATCCCCAATTCATGGCTTTTAAAGATCCCCGATGGCTCCGAGATCATCACTGCAGATGATTCCAGGTGGACAGCCATGTTTAGAAACCATGGTTTGGGAAATGCGTTTTCATTATTGAAATTGAATAAATCTTAATAGACCAGGAAATTAGCTAGGAGACTCATGCTTCTGACACAACATAAGCGGAGACACTGCTGTAGAACATTTATCAAAGGATCTGGTGTGGTGGATGGAATTTGTACCGATGCTGCTAACATTCATTGATTGCCCTGAGAAGTAGGCTCCTTAAATACCTCCTCATCAGCACAATCCTACTCTCTTTCCTCTGTGTGTTCATTCAGTGCTTTAATTATTTGTTGCCATGTTTTTCTCCTCACTAGATTATGAGCAACCCGAGGGCAGGAACCATGTCTCCACAAGCACACTGAGAATCTGGTGACTGACCCATGCTGGATGAGCGACACACATTTGTGACATAAATGTGTCCACGAATTCACTCATTCATACATGTATTCATTCAACAAATGATGATCATGACAGAGAGAAAGGGATAGCATTGGCAGAGGAGTTAATTAGAAAGAGAGAACAGAGAATCTATCCCATGAGGAGGTAGAACTAAAAGTAGGGGAGTAAAAGCTGAAGAAGAAGAAAAGAAAAGGGTATTCATTTATTAATATATTCATGTAATGCGGTGGTGGCTAAGTCATGCTGCAAGAAGCGTATTTTTTTTTTTTTTACTCAGATGGACTCAAAAGTTAGTTAACATTTCTAAGTACCTTGTATTTTTCCTCCTTTTATGGCATTTAATCACAATTAAAATCAATTAATTACTGTGGTATTATTTGCATAATGTTCCTTTCTTCTTCCAAGCCCTTCCCCTGCTCTTCCACACTCTAGGAAGGCAGATCCCACTTGGGCATTAACCTCCGTGTTCCCCAGTGCCAGCACACTATGACACACAGTGGGTGTTCAGTAAATATTTACCAAGTGACTCAATGGATTCATGGTTTCAGTTCCTTCTTCTGTTGCAAAAAGTCATCGAATTATCTTCATCTCAGGGTTGTTATGAGGAATAATTTAGATAAAACATACAGTCACTGGGTGCATCCTAGGCATTCAATAAATTGACAATTCATTATTATTATTGGGAAAAGCAATAGATACTAAGCACCTACTCTGTACCGGATTCTGTGCTAAGTGCTTGGTAAAAGGGGACAATCAACAGCACAAATAAATTGCAATTTTTAAAAGAAGTATGGTTCAAGGATCCCAATGTCACCACCTCCCCCTGCCTACCCCCCCCCCCCCAGAGCCTCAGCAAACTCCAGCATCCACTCACAACACTGGTCTCCCCCGTCACGCAGGAGATAGCAAGCCCTGGAACCACTAAGCCTGGTCTTTCCTCCTGCTACCACCAGGTGGCAGCACAAAGACCACAGATGCGACAACGCCCTGTGCAGGCTTGCGGTCTGGAGCACCGGGGAAGGAGGGGCCCAGCACCTGGCTCTCTGGCCTTGGTATACTGTTTGGGAGTTATAATTAATGCTTTAGGATCAGCCGCTGCCTTTCCATTTCAAAGCCATAGACCGCAGCCCCTCACATCTGGGTCCTCTTTCAGAAGCCTTCCCAGAGCACCTGGAGTGCCCTTCCTTTCACCTCCATTCCCTTACAGATCCTTACAGATATTGCTTTTTGTGAAGGCTCCAAGTCCTGCGCGGCCCCTAAGCTACCTCCCCATTGCAGCTCACCTTCTTCCTTGCTGCACCCCATCAGTGCCCCGCTGTGCATCTCCTGATCTCTGCCTTTGCTGCCATTTCCTGCAGGTTCTATCCACACATGCATGCTCACATTTGCTGCTCTTCCTCTTCTCTTACCTCCTTAAAAACCCAGCTGAATGCACACCTGCAGGAAGTCGTCCAGCCTGACACCGGATGGTGGTTTACTCTTCTATGTGCCCCAGTAGCACTAGGTGTCAGGTTTGAGGTGATCTGGCTGCATGATGCTTTATCAGCGTCTTCAGGTGTTTCCTGTCACCTCTGCCAGGGAGGGCAAGAATAGGTCTTTCTCTTGGAAGAAAAATAGCCCTTTCTAATTCTCTGGTCTGTGCTCTACGTTCATCAAGCCTGTTATAGTCACTGATGGGCTGAAGGGAGAAAGAAGGGGTGTGTGAGTGACATGCAGGGACAAAGAGAGGTGAGAAGCTTGAAGTGAAGTAGCCCAAATTCTCCTGCCCCCCGGGACTCCTAGGTGAACAGGACAAGAAGGAAGATGCTGTAAAAGCCAAAAGCCCCAGAGAAATTATTAATAGATTTTAATTCTCTTTGGAAATCCAGTGCTTTCCAAGGTTTACTGAGAAAACCCAATCTCTTCATTCATTCATTCATTCAGTGTACTGAGCACTACTGGTCCGTAGGCACTGGGAACACAAACATAAGACCCAGTGCCAGTCCTCAAGGTCACCAAAGCCTACTGGGGAGACAGGCTAGAACACAACTAGTCACTACAGAGCAAGAGAAGAGCCCGAGAGAGGAGTGCGAGAGCAGGGGTGGGGGATGGGGGGCAGGGAAGGCTTCTGGAAGAGGGGGCAGGAGATGGGCACTGGAGGGCTGGCAGGGCTTAGCTGGCCATGCAGATTCAGGAAGAGGAAGCAGCACTTGGGAAAGCACGGCAGGGGACCACGGGGAAGGCTAAGGGAACTGGGTGAGTAATCCATTATGACTGGAGCCCAGTGTGCAAGAAATGAGAGGGGTATGGAGAGGGTAGCCAGACCGGTTCTCACTAGGTCTGCCCAGAAGGCTCTGTTGAAGTTATGTGGACTTCACTTTGGAGCTAAGGGAGCCTGAAAGGATTTAGGGCAGAGCATGGTATGACTGAATTTTCCTGTTAAGGATGATCACTCTAGCTGCTGTGAGGGGAAGCTGTTGCAGTGGTCTAGGCAGAGGGGGAGTGGGTATGAATCAAAGCGAGACATTGCAGAGATGCAGTCAGTAGGCTCAACGGCCCATATGGACCTGCCGAGTCTGAGGGGTCCCTGGATCCCCGAGCAGGGAGTGCAGTGGGATTTGGATGTTCCTGCCTGGAGCTTGGGAGACAGGCCTGGGCTGGATCTGGAAGTCCCTATGCATGAGGCCCCTGACATAGATGAGATCACCCTTGGGGCAGGGGAGCATGTGGAAGAGAAGAGAAGGCAGAAGGAACATTTAAGGGCCTGGAAGAGAAGGAGAAGCCCGAAAAGGGAGTGGGGAAGGATGGCCAGAGAAAGAGAAGGAAAAGCAGGGCAGAGTCATGTCTTGGAAGCCACAGATGGAGGAAGTCAAAGGTCAGGCAGGCTGAGATCTAACATGCCATTTGGAGGTGGCAGCGTGGAGGTCACAGTTTCGGGGAGGAGGGTTGGGCAGAGGCCAAGCTCCATGGGCTGGTGAGTAGAAACGAGGAGGTAGGAAGGGGAGTTATAGGGAGCCCTTGAAGAAACTTGAATGTAAAGGAAATGACGATGATGGGTGGTGGTAGAAGGGAATGTAGGATTAAAGAAGTGTTTTGTTTGAGGGTTTTTGTTTGTTTTGACATGGAAGAAACTTATGGGGGCAAATGGGTACAAAATGAGTGGTTGAAGATGCTGGAAAATAAGCGGAGGGAATTCCCGGAGGAAGTAAGAAGGGGTTGGGGCACAGGTGGAGGAGCTGCTCAGTAAGACACGGCTGTGATGAGAGGGAGGCAGGGCTGGCTGGGCTGGCTTTGGCTGAGAGTGCAGGGGCTGGTTGAAGTCGGGGACCCAGGAGCCTGGGACAGAAAGAGCTTCACTGACATGAGCTGAGCTCTGCCCGGGGCCTGGTGACAAGGAAGGACGTCACAGCGTTTCCCATCCTTGTGGCTGTGTGATTTGCCCCATCAGGACCCTATACACTCAGTAAAGGAGTGAGGAGGCCACCGTGGTGTTGTTGACCCAGGGTGGGACTGCGCTGGAGAGGGAGGGTGACTGCAGGACAACAGTGGTTATTGGAGTTGAAAATCTAGCAAGAAAGTACTTCAAGCCATGCCTAAGGGCTCTGAGCTCCTGGGTGGCAGGAATGGAGACAGGAGGAGACTGAAGGGTGGGAGAAAAGGGAGTGATGGGGGAAGGGATCAGTAAGGTGCCAGGGACATGCAGGGGGGTCTGGGAGTGAGAGAGCTTGAAGGCTAGGGTGAGAGTGCGGTGCGTGAGTTTAAGATTTCTGAGGAGTAGCAAAAACAGGTCTCGTCTAAGTCTGGGATGTGGCCTTGAGTGGGGTGCCCAAGTGAAGTCAGGGTGCAGGAGCCTGGAAGGGAAGAGGTCAAAGGTGTTGGGTGGATGGTCTGCAGGGGCCTGATGTCAGGGCAATGCCCAGACTTGGAGGAAGCATGTGAGGCAGGTGCCAAGGCTTTTATTGGCTGAGGAGGGACCAGGTTGTCAGCAGATGGCCAATGGGGAAGGGCAGCTGGACCCAGGCGCCTCATGGGAGCCTGGGATTTTACAGGAGAGCAGGATGTGGTGACTCTGGGGTAGGGGGCAATAAACAGTCCCCATCTGAAAGGGCTGCGGCTAAGTGGTACCTGCAGGGGAGACAGAGGTTTCCTTGAGGTGAAGGGTGCAGGGAGCACTGCCAGGCAGGTGAGGGTCCAGGGGGCACAGGTTTAGGAGGGAGGAGAGCAGTGGAGGGACAGAGGATGTGCCGGGCAGCGTGGCAGTGCGAGGAGGGATGAGCTGCACCTGGGTGCAGGTGGCGGACTCTGGGGTGCTGCCTTTCCTCCCAGGGCCTCTGCCCCCCTCCACCGGTCTCTCCTCTTCTCCTTCTTTGTTTTCCACCCCCATAGCTGAAACCTCTCTGTGGCATTCCAGCTGTGGCCTGCTGATGGCCTCTGTGGCTCTAAGAGCTTCGGGAGAGATGCTGAGCCCCATGTGGAGGTGGCCCAGATTCAGCCTTGCTGAGCACCTGCCCCCTGTGCCGGTCCTTCTGCCGTGCCGGTTCCCCATTTTCCACTCACCCCACGGCTTTGTTTTGCCAAGGTCAAGGAATGGGTAGGAAGCTCTGAGAGGGGCCTTGCCGTATTCTAGATACTGAAGGTTGAAGACGAGATACTTCAAAAGGCCACTGGATCTAGCCCAGCCCTAGGCCAGCTGAGCTGGGGTGACTTGCCTGAGGATGGGCAGCTAGAACGTGGCAGAGACTGAAATGAAAATTAACCTAATGTGTGTATTCACTTACTCTTCCAACCTCATGGACTGCCCCCATTGTACAGATGTTTTGGTTCACCTAAAGCTTTATTTAGAATACTTTTTATTCTGCTGAATTTGTAATATGCATTCACTACGTGAGCTTGGGAAATGCATGTCATGTTCTACCAGCCTTGGTTTCCCCTCTGAACAAGGAGGGGTTGAGCCAGAGTGTGGGTTTCCAGCTGTGTGAGGTGCAGCCTCAGCGATTCAGTGGAAGAGAATAAGGGTGGCAGTGGTGGGGGTTACAGGAGCCTGGGAGCTGGGGAAGAGCTCCTGGCTTTACCTGGTTTCCAACTGAAAAGCTCCCCTCGGACCTGCCTGAATTTTATGTGTCTCCATATGATCTTGTTTGGAAAGAGGATTCTGCTGCCCACACAGTGTTAAAAACCATGCTCCTGCCTAGCCCTGACCCTGCATGAGCCTGTTGCCTTTAGGTGCTGTGGGGTGTGTCCTGGGAGGCGTGTCCCTCCCTGCCTGCACGCCCTGTCAATTTTAATGCCTAAGCATTTGGCGGCCCACGGGCAGTACCAGGGCCTCTCTGCAACGCACTAGAGGATAAGCTAATGCTCTTTAGTGGCAGTTGTGCTGCTTCTGAGAAATCTGACTTTCCAAAGTGGTTTTGATGGGCCCAGGGCTCAGTGCTCCTCTATGACCTTGATGATGAATTACATCCTGAATCCAGCACAGACAGGTCCGTATCCAAGGGACAAAGCCCGGACCTGTTCTTTGTCACCCAGCGCCAGCTGGGATTCCTTGTCGCTTGGCTGGCAGCTGTGAGGGATCACTTGGCCACCAGGAAGCCTTCCCAGTGGGGATTGTTCTGAAAATCTGTGCCAGAGAAATTACATCTGTGAGTCGTGGCTCAGGGGAAGACCCAGCTGCTCACCGCAGCTCAGCCCCCAGGCCATGGGGAAGGGTCAGAAGGCAGAGTGAGCTTAGACGATGGGCTGCTCTGCTTTTCTCAGTTTCCACAGCTGGCTGTAAGATTGCAGTTCCCCATTTCATTTGGGAAGTTGAGAGTGGGACTGGAGCCAGAAAGGCACCAGGGGTAAGGCCCGCAGCTGCCAAGTGGGGGCTTTGGGCTGCGCCAGCAGAGTTGCTCCTCCGGACCTTTGGGGCCTCACCGGTGACTCAGCCTCCTTTCCTCTGACCCACAGGGGCTGCAGCCAGGGCCATAGTCTGCACGTGGTATTTTCTGAGCAACAAGAGTCAGAAAATGGGAGTGAATCTTAGAGTGGGTATCATGAGTCCTAAAAATATCCCCCAAATATTGGGAAGGAGGCATAGGAAGGAAGATGAGGCGCGTTTCACAACAAGATGAATTCTTGGTGCCCTGGGCTTTCGTCTCTGAAGGGAGGATCTGAGAGCCATAGGTGTGTGCTAAAGAGTGCTCGAGCTAATTGGCCTCTGCCCTCTGGGCACTTGTCCCTGAGGGGTGGTCCTCATTCGGCCTTGAACTCACATTGGGCCTCTATAGCTGCTGGGTTATCATCCCAAGCCACGTCAGATGGCCTTGGCTTGAATCCAGGAAGCTGGAAAGCCTTTCAGACAGTTGAGTCTAAATTAAATATTAGATCTGAGAGGGTTTCACATATTTCAGAGCATAACCTCATTGGGGTATTTATTTGCTGTTCTCCTGGTTCTCCCAAATTAATAATTGAGTAAAATCCTGTTTTGACATGCAGAGCTGATTTGCTTCCATTCTGCTGAA